ACTTTTGCCCCCTCTTCTAAAACTTTATCCAAGATTATTGGGATCACTAACCTTACTTTATCTTCATTTATTTACGATCTACTTTTGCCCCCTCTATCTATAAGCTTTATCCAAGATTATTGGGATCACTAACCTTAGAGTTCAGCTTTATTTATTTATGACCTTCGTTTGCCCCCTCTTTCTATATGCTTTATCCAATAAACAGCATTCTAGTGGTAGCCATAAAGGGGTATCAGATTCAAAAGCCAAACATAAACAAATAAGATGCTTTTTGATGCAATCAACTTATATAATCAAACTATTCATTACATAAAGAGAGAAAAAAAAACCCAAATTTGACAATATGAGCAAGTTTACATCTTGAATTGACAAGCATAGAAGGGCAGTTTGGTCATTTACTGTCAGCACATTGGAAAACAAGGGACGTCCAGATTGGAGAAAAGTACGAAACAATGAATATCATATGTCAAACAATGATTAATTAAAAAACAGATCTACGACCCTGTGGGCCTTTTTAGCAGACAAACAATGGCCATTGATTGATGCTCACTTGGCCTGTTCATCAGATACTGTGACTAGGTCAACTTTTACAAGAACAAACCAAATACATCCTCCATTTTAGTTTAGGCGTGGCTTACTACTAATATTAAGGATGAAATGAACATGAATGAAAATTTCAGATCCAGAATCTGCATTGATCCAAAAGATAAATCTCAAAGTTCCATAACCGATAACAAAAACGAGATGAAAACGTAAAAAAGCAAAGCAACCAAGCAACGGCAATGGAGGTCGTTTCCAATGGCGCAGCCGTCTCTAACATTCAGAAAGAAAAGGGTCCAATTTCCGATGAAAACAACAAGTGCACAGAACAGAAGCAAAAGAAAAGAAATGCATAAGCAGAGAATGTAGTCGTACCAGAAACCCACGGGGAAGTTGGAAAGTCGTTCTGGTGGCAAAGGAATGTCAAAACTGGAAGCTGTTAGATGGGTATACAAATGGGTACTTATAAAAAAGAAAATATATATAAAAAATGAATAGAGAAGGGTGGATAAAGAAAGGTGTTGATGGCCTTTCCTTAGGAGATAGGGGTGTGGGTGGAGGAAATTCGTCTTTGGTCCCTTTAAGGTCATCAAGAGAAGCCACTCACCAAACATCATGCTCCTACTCCAAATAGGATAAGGTTTTCTCACCACCCCAACAATTTTCTTTATCAAAATCCAAAACCAAAAACAAAAAAAATACTTTGCTTCTATCTAATTTATGTGTGGTCAACTTTCTTGACCAAAACAACCTCTTTTAATAACGTTTCATTCAAGTATGCATGGTTGTATATCGTAAATTTGTAGTCGTATGAAATAATCTGTGTTGATGTTCTAATATTTCTAAATTGATTTCATTATGTTTGAATTTCATGTACGATGTTGTTATTATTATTTTGGGATCAAACCCATCAACCAAAGACTTGATAAGTTTCTTTGGGCAATGTGTATTTATTGTGAACTCATAAACCGTTAAGAATATTCTTAAGGTTATGGTGTTATTAATAGAAACAGCAAAACTTCTTTTTTGTTTCGAAATAATTCAACGCCGCTTGATAGTCATTGTCTTTTAGAATGACTGAAAAGAGATCATATTTGAGAAGCAAGACTCTTATGACTACCTTCTTGATGTTTTTCGTTCCTGCTTTATACTTTATTTGTTTGTAAAATTCTCTTTATTGGTATTTAGGAAACCTTTTATTCAATAGAGTTATCTTACACGAGGGCATATGAGACTCAATTATTATATAAGCTTTATCTATAACTTTGTTCCACGTCTTTTGGTTATGAGTTTTGTCCTTTACGGTTTCACAAACACTTATGACGGCATGTCAATTATTCTTATGTTTAGTTCAAATCACACTGTTAAACATGAGTCCACTTCATTAATGAGTTTTTGCTTTTGGCTTTGTATGGACTTTGACCTTCTCTATTGATTAAACGTCATTATACACTCCTTATCAAATATTTCATAATCGTAAAAGTTTAATTGTTTATTTGCATTTTATATAGAATGACCTGCCACTGGTTGAAGGACGGGCTTCAGTTGAGGTTGCCATTAGGCACAAATAAGCTTCTTTTTAATTTGATAATCTTTCTGTGCAGTCAACTTCTTTTTTATTTCATAATGTTTCTGTGCAGTCAACTTCTTTTGCAACTTAGTTTTGTTAGTGTAAATTGTTGTAGTCAATCTTATAGAGCTTTATTGTAAATACCTTGAGAAGTCAACCTGTGACTTTCCCTGGTATAAGTAGTTTAGTTTGACTTTGTTTGTTAGAATGCTTTGATAGATCATTTTCTTAAGTGTGTGTAATTGATGGTGTAAATTATTTTTCTCTCTCAATAAAACATCTGACAATTTGATGCCATGTTATGATCTTGTTATTCCTGCTCTAGATTGTATTATCATACTTGAAAATGGAACTCACAATTGTTATCAAGCAAATTCAGGATTAAAACTGATTTGAAACATCAAATTTGAAGATTTCTTGAAGTTTCTGGAAAACTCAATGAACAGTGGGTCTGGGTTTATGATTTTTAGTGATTTGATCTTATATGTGCTTGATTTGGAGTTTAATTGAATCAATTTTCAATCTATAGTCAATCTGAATCAATTTCTTTCCGCAATTTCAAATCAATTTGATAGATTTTGAGAATCTTGGAAATTTTGGTTCGAATACTCTTCTTGGTGAATTTTGGTAAATTGGTTGGTTTTTATTCGAATTAGGCATTAAGACATTTGTTAATTGGTTTTGGAAACACAAACGACCATGAATCACAAAAGTTACAAGTAATTTTGGTTTTGTTGAATCAAAATTCGAACAGTTGAGGTCTAAGGCTTATGCAATATATTAGTGTTCTTGAGGTTATCGCATAACTCTATGAGATGGTTGGAATTTTTGCAAATTTATCGCATCCTTAAGGCAAGACAGTTGGTTTTATTGCGTCCTATAGCCTACACAGTTGGCTTTGTCGCATCCTATAGCCTGTGACACTTCTCTGTATCGCATCATATAGCGCGCGATAGTTGGAAGTGTCTGAAAGTGCTCGTATATCAAAAATATTAAGAACAAAGAAAGAAAACAGAATACTAGATGTCAAAGGTTTTGATCTGTTTATTGAATATGAAGAATGTAGAGCAATATGCTTACAATACTGGAATAAATAATGAATCAATCGAATCGTAATTGAAAAGAATAACAAACCTATCTATATAAAGAATAAAACTAACAAACAAACTGAATCCCATAAACTGAGAAAGATAATCTCTATCACTAATAACAAGATATAGGATCAACATCATCCTCTGGTTCAGAGTTAGATTAACTATGAAGTCAAGGTCTTCAGACTTCGTCTTCAGATTTGACACTTATGCGCTCTTGGGGGTCTTCTCTTGAAACAACTCTAAAGAATATCTCTTCAGATTTGCACTTGTACATTTTTGAGAAGCTTTAACCCGAACTCTGAAGTCTTCAAGTTCAGAAACATCAGTCTTTCAGACTTAGACTTAGTTGTGTGAGCACTTTTTATTTCAGATCTCTGAAAATCTGCTTTTCATATTTCTGAAGTCTATTCTACAGACTTCCATACTTAACATATTTTGAAGCAATCTTCTATATCTTTCAATCTCCCCTTTTGCTTCAAATCTCAAAGCCTCTATCCTCAAGAATGGGGATGAAATTCTCTAGAATAATTCTTCTGTAATTGAGCTGAGAATCTATCTCCACTCTCATCCATTTGATCAAATCTTTTAGCTTTAGCCACTCTTCTTTAGAAATGATCTTTGGTCTTTTGCAAAATCTTTTCTCTAAGGACTTAGGATCTGAGTTAAAGTGCTTGTGTTGTACTTGTGCATATCATACACTCTAAATAGGAACTTCTCATGCAGATTCTTGCATATGTACACTGGAGGATCACACATTACAGTCCCTGTGTGAAAGCTTGCTAACTCTCCAAGACTTATCTCTAGATGCAGCAAGTGAACTTTGTTCATCTTTAGTGTTACTGCCAATTGAAATCCTGCCACACTTCCCCATAATGTTGCTTTGAGAATTCCATGGGTGATAGCAATGAGACCTTTTCTGAACTTTGCCACCTTATCTTCAAATCGAGCAAGTATGTTGTAGTGTTGAAGTAGGTCTGCAAGATGTATGTTTTGGAAATCAGCTTCAGAAAACTCATACACGCTTTTGTCTTGTCTTTCAACAGCAAACACTTGATCTATCAGGCTCCTCCACGTTCTTTGCTTGACATATATCAATTTGGTTATTGCAAATTTAGAGTAAACATCTCTTCTTAAATTCCCTATCCTGTCCATGAAGGCATGATATTCTCTTTTGATTCCTGTAGACTTCCTTTTAAAGGAATCCACATAAGTTACAGCTCTGAATTCTATTTCTGACATGAATAGATTCTAGAATTTAAAGTCAAGGAACCACTTATTCAGATCAACTTGTTTCACCTGTTTCTCTTTTTGCTCTGGTTCTGGGACAATCTTTTTCAGACTTGGAGAGATGTAATATTCAGAGGGTAAGAAGACATCCTTTTCCAAAACTTTCTTCAGATTCTCCTCCATTATCACTAGGCTTAGAATCTTTGACCAATCCTCTGAGCTTTAGTCTTTCCTTTATCTCTTCAACAAATTTCTCTCTCACATCCATTTTTTCAAGGAAGTGAGTGAGCACTTCAGATGTAAACAAAGGAAGCCTTGTAATCTTGAGTAACTACTTCTCTATAGAAGTCTTCAAGTAGTATTGGGGCTGCTGAACATATACAAATTTACCCGACAAGAGGCTATTTTTAAAAGATTCATCCAGTGGGTTCTTAGCATTAATTCTTGGCAATTTCAGATCCAAGACCACTTGAAAATCATACAATCCCAGATTTTTGATGTAAAGTCCCATTGTCCTCCTTAGCTTCAGCTCAGCCCATGAGATGTCTGCCTTTTGTAAAAAATTAAGCAGGAACACCTGATCTTATAGCTTCAGCATTGAAAAGTCTGCCCTAAAGATCTGATAGACACAATTGTCATCCCTTATTACTTGCAGGTCTAGATAATCCATAGCAGCAAAGGATTTGCTTTGGAATTCTGCTACTTAGATTATTTGATTGTCTAGATTCAACTATGTTTTCTTTCTCCTTAACTTGTTCAACATCTCTAAATACATCACCTGCACTTCTCCAGGCCAGTTGCCATCAATCTCATGTTCAAACATCACCTTATCTTCATAATATGATAGGTACATATGGTTTAAGTTTTGGAAGGAGATCATGGTGCCATCATTTTTGAATATTTCCAGCTCATCATCCAAACCCATGTTTTCATCTGAATTCTGGACTGCTGGTTCTTCTTGTTGCTCTATAGACTGAATTAATGAAGGAATGAAAGAATCTTGCTCTTGTTGAATAAATGAAATAAAAAATCTTGATCTTGCATTGTGAAGGGAATGATTGCAAGACATGAGTTTTCAAAAACTTCTCCATGCTTGTCTTCTAGTTCATCATTTGGGTTTAGATTCCCCATCAGAACTAGGAATGACAACTACTTCTATTTCCTCTGTTTGTTCTGTTTCTGCTTGATTGATTTCATCAATAACCATTTGAACTGTTTCTTTATTCATATCAACCACATCTTCTTCTTGTATCACCTTAGCTTTAACTCTCTTTTCTACCTCAATCTCCTCTTGAGTTGTTTCTATTTCATCTAATACTCCCCTAGCTCCCCCTAGAACATCTCTCTCACCTTCCCCTTCTACCATTTCATTTTTGGATCCCCCAGCCTCATCCTCTTCTCCCCCTTATGATGATCAGAATCATCCTAACCATCATGCCTTCTTTTGGATGAGACAGCCTGTTTCTTACAACTCATTTCCTTAAGATCTCTTCTAATTAGCATGGTCATGTACCTCAGATCTACCATGTCTGCCTTAACTTTATTTAGTTGGACAGAAGTGGCAAAATC